AACTTCGCTCCATCAAATAGTATGTGGTACATTTGAGCTAAAGAAGTCTCTTTTTAATTTCTCTGATTTTAGGTACAACAGCATAACTGTCTTGAGAGAAAATGATCTTTCAGGACTTGAGAACTTAGAGCTGCTGATGCTGCATAGCAACACCATCCACAGTATTGATGACAGAGCTTTCCAAGACCTCAAGTCCTTACAGGTAAAATCATGTGTTTGTCTCTTGTGAACAGATTACAGACCTGTCTTGTAATATTGGAGTACAAACATCCTGTCAGCATCCTATGGTTTAGTTAAATACAATGACACATATGTCAAGAATGTGCAATGTTGTAATGTAATCCCTACATAAAAAGAGGGATTATTGCAGATGATATATAACAGGTGGTAAACATATCAACAACAGTTACGCAGTCTAGTACCATCAGCACCACAAACTACAGACTTAGAAGTTAGAGCTGCTTCAACTCCTCTCACAAAAACCACAAGCCACACAGAAAGAGCATTGTTGTGGGGCTTTTATAGTGGATTGCATTATATTCCACTTTTATTTATTCATATCAGCTGGCTCTCCAAAAACTGACTGCTTTCCAGACTAAATCAATTATTTTGAAATGATACTGCTGTTTTTGTCATTTCATGGTGTCTCTCAATAAAGTGCTGTTCTGTGTTAACATAATAGTCTCAAATCAACATTCTTTGGACAAACATCCCCAACTTCTCATTCGTGTTCTCACAGGTCCTGAAGATGTCCTTTAATAAGGTAAAGGAAATCAACAAACAGACGTTCAAAGGCCTCAACAGTCTGCTAAGACTCCACATGGACCACAACCACATTGAGTTCATTAGCCCAGAGGCTTTCTACGGTCTAAACAACTTACAGTTGGTCCATCTGGAGGGTAACCACCTCCAGCAGCTCCACCCAGACACATTCATCACACTGAGACACAGCCAGGTGTTCAAGGTGTCCTCTGTAAGAAACATCCACCTGTCAGACAACCTCCTCACCACTCTGCCCGCAGATATTTTCTCAGGCTGCAGCCACTTAGAGAATGTCTTTCTCCATGGCAACCCATGGACATGTGATTGCCGCATGAAGTGGTTCTCAGCGTGGGCACAGAGGAACACAGGTGAGGAGTATGTGTTTGCTTTGAAAGAGTCTGAAAGCATTTACAGAGGTGTGAGGTTGTAACATGTTTACAAGGGAAGATAACTCAGTTTTTCTTAAGGAAGAAGTATTTCTTAATATAAATATTTTCCCTTGCACAAATTAAAAAAAAAACCTAATCTAAACCGGTGTGTGCTCCGATTTGCTAGCAGCTTTAATAAGACACATCTGGTAAAGTTGCTAACTGCATTAGTACTTTAATAGGTTATTCTACTCAGACTTTTAAAGTGTGTTTTTTCTCCTACAAATTAATAGTGCATGGAATTGTATCCAAAGCAACAAAGGCATATCCAAGGGAAACATAAATCTTCAATTGGAGGCAGAGATCAAATCTTCTCGTCCTGAGGGCTACAGAGAACACAAAAGACACAGAAGAACAAAAATTATACCTTTTATTCATGACTTGGCTAATGTAATGTCAACTCATAAATTACAATTCTGTATGGTGATGATGATCTTTCCTGGTTCACAAGTTTTATTGATCATAATGTGGAAACTGTAAATGTTCTTTTCTTACATGCAACCAACTAAATGCTAAACCATTTGGTTTAAATGTTTCCAGGTGTGCTGAAATGCAAGCGAGACAGGAGATATCCGAGAGGCCAGCTGTGTCCTGTTTGTGAAAATCCTGCCCCTTACCACAACAGATCTCTATCCCTTCTCCCCAGCGATGCCTTCGCTTGTACCAAACCCTGGATCCAACCCCATCTAAAGCAGAAAAACATCAGCGTGGATGAAGGGGACTTTACCCCAGTTTCCCCCAAGGACTTCATCGCCCCATTAGGCTCTATACAAATGAACCTGACTAACCAGTTTCACAATGACGCCAGTCTGTCCTGCACTGTCCAGAGGCCCTCTGCTTTCGAGAACCTGACACAAACCTTGGAGGAGGACGGGCAAAACAATGTCACCTTACTCACCACTGGCATTACTACATATTTAGTGTGTAACATTGACCATGAACACATACAGCAGCTGTGGCAGATCTTAGCCACCTACAGTGACTCTCCCTTGCGACTGGAGAGAGGCTTGATGCTTGCCAGAAGCCCAGAAATGGTGTACAGGTACAGTGAGATGAAAACAAAGGAGGGAGAGGAAGTTCACACATACGTTGAGGCTGAGATTAAAGCCTCCCCTGCATGGTTGATGCAGGGAGAAGTGAGCTTCCAGCTTGACCGCACTTCTACCACTTTCTCTACTCTACACATTAAGTACCAGTCTGTGGTCAACCTACGTGTGGAAAACACATCACCTAAGAGAGACCGCTATTCCTGGACCATGATCAAGCGAGATAATCAAACCAAGACTGAGCACACTGTACTTACAGGTAGGAGTTAGAGAATCATTCTTAACAAACAAGCTTATATGACCTTCACTTCAGTCTACATCTACCTAACCCTTAACTGATGTGTGTGTGTTTTATTTTTTAACATAGGTGGTGTGACACAATTGAACTGTCAAATCCGGGGTGAGCCAAAGCCTTTGTTGGAGTGGATTTTACCAGATGGAAGTAAGGTCAGAGCTCCTTACTCCAGTGAGGACAGGAGGATCATAATCACTGCTGAAGGGAAGCTCACAGTGCGGGCTGCAGATGCCTCCGACACAGGCCTCTACCGGTGCATTGCCACAAACTACCTGGATGCAGATATCCTCGTTTTTCGAGTGACAGTTCTGTCCCCTGATGTGGAAGAGGCTGAGGTCAACGGTGTCCAGCTCTCAAGGCCACTGGGTGAAAATCTGTTTTTTGACTGCAGCTCCTCTGGGAGTCCTGAGGCCTCGGTCCAGTGGATACTCCCTGATCACTTAGTACTGGACAAGTCTCATGGGAACAGGAAAGTGTATGAGAATGGAACCTTGCTGGTTCAGGGTCTCACAGCGAGGGACAGAGGATTTTATAGGTGTTTGGTTTCTAATCAGCTGGGAGTTGATCTGCTTGTGTCTCAGGTGACTGTGACTGAAGAAAGGTCTGAGACAGTAACAATTCTGGACAGTGAGGGATCAGAGATGGAAAACAAGTTAGACTTGTCCTCCACAGTCACCCTCAGTGAGATCCCCTCCTCCAGTCCCTCTGACAGAACTAGTCAGGAATCCAGGACCATTACCTCAGATCGCCCATACCCCAGAATCAGATCACAGGGTAGAGGAGGTGCTCGAGGTAGACTGGGACAGCGAAGGAGGGGGCCAGTCAGCAACAGACGCATCTGGAGTAGCAGGGTTTTTGATAAAGCTTCCCGGAAAGTGGACCCACAGAAATTTGCTGAATTTATGAAAAAGGCTCAAGATGGATCAAGAATAAAGACGGGCACAAATAAAGAGAAGGGCAAATATGCTGGTTCAAACACACCTTTTTCTGGTGATGGTGAAATTGGCTCTGGTGAGGATCCTAATGAACATCATCTCATCATTGTGCCAAGGATAGTCACACCAACAACAGATAATCCACAGAAGGGGAGAATGTTTGAGCAAGAAAAGAGGCAGCCTGAAACAACCACACAGACAGACCACCGTAGTAATCTAGTAACAACAGAGTCACAGCAAATTGTTGGTATGGAAACAACAGTCAGCAACTACATTGATTTAAGTCAAGTGACAGAAAACACTAACACACCAACAGCAGAATTTTACATGCAGTCAGATTCTACACCAATCAAATCCACATTCACAAACAATCCAACAGGAAGGCGCGAAAGCCAAAGTGATACAGTTACACCATACAACACAGATCTTTCCACTTTTGATGAGACAACTGAATTTTATGCCATGGAAAAAAGTAACGAGCCACACACAAACGGGCGTCCAGTCACCCTCCAACTTACTGTAACGGACACGTCGCAAGAAACTCAGCTCCAGTTCTCAGGAGACAAGCCTGAAGAGCCAGAAACATCCACTTGGGCGGCGCTCTCATTTACCGCAGACCCCAATGTCACTCCAATGAGGGATGGCCCAGGCCCAATGGAGCTAATTGTTCACACATCCACCAACCCAGAAAGCCAGACGACATTCACAGCCGTCACCACCACAGAAAGACAACAAGATGAGATAACCTTCCACACTACCCAAACAATCAAATCCCCACGCCTGCCTGCAGGATCCACCATCATCTCCCGGCAACACATCCATATCATCCCACACAAGAACAGCAGAGGAGGGGGCCGCAGGAGGACCTTCCCAGGCCGCAGGAGGATCATTAAACCTAACAGGATCACTGACATACAGTCCTTCATCAATAAACTTAAACAGCCCTCAGTGAAGAAGGAAGGGAATGCCACAGTGCCGTATAAAATTGAACTGACCACAGGTAAGCAACCTTGTTTTATAAGCAAACAAAGCTATTATTAAATGTTTTTTCTTGATTGTTCTGTGTGCACTCTTCAGATGTCTGACCCGTTTATCTGTGTTTCCTTTTCTTCTATATTTTTTCTCTCAGATTGTGACTGTGATGAAGACAAAAAGAAGACAGCAACCACTGATCTGCAGGTGGTCAAACCAACAGCCAGACCGGAGAGACCTCCCTCTACACAAAAAACTACAGCTTCTACCACAAACTATTATATTACTTCAAATGCCCCTTTTACCCATACAGAGTCAAGGCCAGAAGTTTCCAGTGGATACATAACCTCTGCTGATGCCTCTGAGTCAGACCCTACAATTGATCCTCTTTTGACCACAAATAAAGAACCGTCAATCTCCACCATGACTGCTTTTACTACAACTGCTTCTAAAGTTATTCGTGGAAAAATTCCATGGAACAGGCTGTTTGGAAGCAGAGAGAGGGAAAAGATACTGGCCAGGCTAAGGAGGCCACTTATCACCCCAAAAACCACAACTACTACAACTACAGCAGAAACTACAACAGTGGCCCTAACCACAACCCCTGCTGCAACGCCTACCACCACTGCAAACTCACTGGCTGAACCTGAGACTCTGTCCCCATCCAGACACACAGGGACCAAAGAGGGCTCATTTGATGATGACTATGGAGATTTTTCCTCTGCAGATTTTGAGTTCACAACACTGGGACCCAGCTTTCTCGATATAAGTACAACCAGTTCATCATATTACTCCAGGTCCTCCACCACTGCTGAAACACCACCAGAATCACAGACTCTACCTTCCCCACCTACTGTCAAACCACCTTCAGTCAAAAATCCTGATGAATCCTTATCATCTGGGTCCGGGGGACTACCTGATAATTTGTTTGTAATCAGACAGAGACCTGGTGGGACAAGAGGACGACAAGGGCGGAGAAGGAGGCCCTTTAGGGGGAGAAGACCCTTTAAAAAACCTCCAATCACTAAATTACGTCCTACTACCACAACTGAGGCTTTAACTACAGAGGTGACAACTATGGAAACCACAATGGAGACAACCACACTACCCCAACAGACTGTTTCACTCTACAAGCCCCTGTACATACCATCTAGGAAAGAGGACAGAATTGTTATAGCTGTTTCAACTGACCAAACATCAAAGGAGGAGACTGACTTATATGAGGAATTTGACTGGAGCACATCTAGCATTTTACCGACCAAAAGAGCTTCGATCCCCACAACCACATTTACCCCCACCACCACATTCTTACCAACTACCACAAAAGGGCCTTACACAACAGCTCGGACCAGAATCCACAGCAACATCAGGCCGCCAATGCAGAGGAACAATGGTGGCGCCACTCATAGGCCACCGTTAAGGAGAATCAGACCTACTGTGCAGAGCGGTGGTGCCAGAGACAGCACAGATAAAGGCCTCACGTTTGACACAATGACCATCCTTACAGCTGAGCAAGGGTACTCCAATACCCCTGGCCCATACAACAACATAGGCACACACAATGCCATCTCTAGTGTTTATAATCATGTCACTGGCAATGAAGCTACTAGTTCCAACATCGCTGGCTTTGAACCCACTACAAAGGTCATGACAAGCAAACCTAAGATAGTTGGGGGCAATGCAGCCAGTTTCACTGTGTTATCCAACTCAGATGCTTTCCTGCCATGTGAGGCTGTTGGAAACCCTCAGCCAACTATAACCTGGAGGCGCTTCTCCTCAAGCACAGGTACAGAAACAGTTAATTGTTATTAAGAAAAACAAAACATCTAGAAAATGTTCAAGTGTTGGGTGAAAGCATTTCATAAAAGTTAATAAAAGTCATGAAAAAATTGTCAAATGTTTTCAAATGAAGTGAGAAAACTAATATTTTTCACATTGACAAGTTGACAAAGGTGTTTAGAAATACTACAACATAAACCAAAACAATTAGAAAAACACTAAAATGTACAAAAAACAATAAAAAATGTTATAAAGTGAAAGTGACAGCAGAGGAAGTGAGTTTTAAGAAGTAGTAACACTACAGTTGATGTTTTTTTCAGTTGTTTTTATCAGTCTTTGTGTGAGCTTGTACATTTTGGGTGTTTTTTGGGGTTGAACGTTTCTAAAAAGAAATTCTCTTTCTCTCTCCATCAGGAAGCACTGTTATCATTACAGGGACGATGGACAAATTTGAGTTGCTGAGCAATGGCACGCTGTTGATCCAGAATGCCAACATTAAGGACCGTGGCCAGTACCTCTGTCTAGCTGAGAATGATCATGGATCAGATAAACTTCTTGTCACGCTCTCTGTGGTGGCCTACCCCTCACGCATCCTAGAGCCAAAAATCCGTGAGGTAAAGTCTCATGTCGGAAACACTGTGGAGATGAAATGTAAAGCAGAGGGTCGGCCCATGCCCGTGATATCCTGGATCCTGGCCAACCGAACCCAGGTGAGGGGTCAAAACACAGAGAAGGGAAGGGCATCAGTATCTGCTGAGGGGACTCTGGTCATTGAGCAGGTGTCTGTTTATGACAGAGGTCATTACAAATGCATCGCCAGTAATCCAGCTGGCGCTGATACTGCTACAGTCCGACTGCAGGTGGTTGCAGCTCCCCCAGGCATCATGGAGGAGAAACGGCAGCAGTTAAAAGCTGGTGTAACTCAAAACTTGTGGCTGCCCTGCACTGGTCAAGGTAGCCCTCAGCCTACTATTCACTGGGTCCTCCACGATGGATCAGTGGTACGATCTAACAGACCTAACAGTAACATAAGGATATCCGTGTTTGTGAATGGAACACTCCACATTAAGGATGTGACTCCAGCAGACAGCGGGAAATATGAATGTATTGCTACCAGCTCTACTGGCTCCGAGAGAAGGGTGGTGACGCTGACAGTTGAGAGCCAAGAGTCTGCACCTAAAATAGTGGAGACATCCCAGCGCAGGACAGTGTTGTTCTTCGGGGATCAGCTGAGACTAAACTGTTCAGCTACAGGAGACCCTAAACCCAGGGTCATGTGGAGGCTGCCCTCTAAAGCTGTGGTGGACCAATGGCACAGGTAAAATGCCCTCATCAGAGGCAGTGACGCACAGAAAAATAGATGGTAATATTTACAAATGAATGAAAAAACATTTTGGATAAAATGGATAAAACATTTCTGAACAGAACACTTTAGTGGTTGCAGAGGAGTGTAATTCTTCACTTCAGGTTTTAGTAAACGTCTCCATTCATGCACTAAGCACCTAAAGTCTAGGGATTTGCTAATCTGACTTTGAATTGGAAACAGGCACACTTGGAAAAACAGCTGAGCTCTTTAGCACAGATTCAAGCTTAAAAAAGTGATATCTTAAGGGACCAGTGTATGTGAAATATTTCTGTTTTCGTTTAAACAAGTCTAAGGTTTCCACATTTCCTCATTTTTGGTCTGCTGCATTGACCGTTTGGGATGTGATGGTTACTCGTTCCATACATGTTGGAATTAGGAATAAGAGTTAATGCTAATCAGAATGAAAACATTTAATCCATACATGATTAAAACCTCAATGAAAAAAGGCACTTATTAATTTTATTGTTTCACCACTTTCAAATATGAAAATAATATTTCCATGACACCGCATTTTTTGGTTGATCAAGCAGAATAGTAAAAAACAAATACAAAAAAAATAGATATATTATAGTTTTTCAAAGTCATTATACAGTCAGCATCAGTACTGTCTCCAAAAACTTTGCATATTCTCTGTTTTCTTAAAAAAACTAATATTTGTTAAAAAAGTAAACAGGAACAGGTCACATTTCGATCACCAATAGAGAAACAGGAGAATACCTTAGGAATATTGGCAGTATATACATATACAGTATATGCTGTGTCTGTATACAATTTGTATGTTCTCCCTCTATGCATGCAGCATCAGAGAAAAAACTGCTTGTTATTTTCAAAAAACAGAACAATGCAATGCTAGTGTTTTCCAGTTCATTGCCAAGGCCTTGACTCTGTTTACTGGTCAGTTCATAAAATCTTCAACCTCCCTAGTAAATTTATTTGTTTGTTTTGGTTTTTTTGGCAGTTAATTCAGTTTTCTGCTGTCATTGTTAATTTTTAACAATGAGAATATTTTCTTTGCGACCACAATGTTCTCATTTGTGTTCTTTTGTGGGGTTTCTTTTCATGTCCCTTTATTTTATTGCAGTGATAAAAAAAATATTTTCTGTTCTTATGGACATGACTGTGGTGTGTGAAAGCAGAGGACACAGTTTTTGTAGAATGGTTCTCAATGTAATTTTAGTAAATGAGGTTTTTGTAGTTTTTGAATTCTGTAAATACCAGTTTTTTAACAGTACAATAACTCATACAATGTCAGCATGTCATTTGTCCTTGTCCTGCACCATAGTAAATGCTGCTCACTTGTATTTGATCAACCTTTATTCTGTTCTTATTCTGTCAAATACTAATTCTCTCTAATTTTCTGTCCTATTTTCAGGATGGGCAGCAGAATTGTGGTCCTGGATAATGGTACTCTCATTGTTAACACTGTAAGTGATAAGGATGCTGGAGACTATCTCTGTGTGGCACGAAGTAAAATAGGTGATGATCTCCAACTCATGAGGGTCAGTGTGTCAATGAAGCCAGCCAAGATAGAGCCTAAGCTCTATGGAAAGAAGCAGGTCCCTTACGGCAATGACTTAAAGGTCGACTGTAAAGCCTCAGGAGTACCGAAACCAGAGATCTCCTGGGGTCTACCAGACGGTACAGTGGTCAACAGCGCTCTTCAGTCTGACGCCAGCAGTCGAGGCGGACGGGCACGGCGCTATACACTTTTTGACAATGGAACTCTCTACCTAAACCAGGTATGCAATGGCATGTCATTTTCTTCCTTTAAACATCATAGCCTTTTCAAAAGATTTACATCACTGTGTCCTGCCTCTTCAGGTTGGTATTTCAGAGGAAGGGGACTACACATGCTATGCTGAAAACCAGATGGGCAAGGATGAGATGCATGTTCATATCAGCGTGGTGACTGCTGCCCCCAGGATACGTCCAACCAGCCAGACCTATGTCAGGGTGAAGCCTGGTGGGAACATCCGCTTTGACTGTGAAGCACTTGGGGAACCCAAACCCAAGATCCTGTGGATGCTGCCTACCCATGATGTAATTGCAGCATCTAATGAACGCTACCTAATGCATGTCAATGGCTCTCTGGATATCAGGGATGTGAAGGTTATTGATACTGGGGATTATGTTTGCATGGCTCGCAACCCTGCTGGAGAAAATAGAAAAGTCTACAAGCTTGATATCGATGGAAATCCACCAGTGATCAATGGCTACCAGCAGAACAGGACAGTAGTCAAAGATGTAGCTGCTAAATTCTCTAGGAAATTAATAGACTGTAAAGCTGAGGGCGATCCCACTCCTAGTATCACTTGGATTATGCCCGATAACATCTTTTTGACTGCACCATACTTTGGCAGCAGGATTAATGTCCACCATAATGGGACATTAGAGATTCGTAATGTGCGGCCAACTGACACAGCAGAGTTCATTTGCATGGCAAGGAATGATGGAGGAGAGGCAGTAATGGTGGTGCAGCTGGAGGTGACCAGTATGCTCCGGAGGCCCATCTTCAAGAACCCCTTCAACGAACGTATTGTGTCTCGGATTGGGAAAACCGTAGTTCTGAACTGCTCTGCTGATGGACACCCGATTCCAGAGATCACTTGGACTTTGCCTAATGGAACACGGTTTACTGGTGAACCAGACCGTGGCTCTCGCCACCACCTAGGCAATGATGGGACTTTTATTATCTACAACACTCACAAAGAGGATTCTGGGAAGTACCGCTGTGGTGCCAGGAATTTTATGGGCTACATAGAGAAGCTAATCATTCTGGACGTTGGGCAGAAGCCTTACATCCTGACTAGGCCTAGGGGCGTCATACGCAGTGTATCTGGAGACCCTCTCTTCCTTCATTGTCTATCTGATGGCAGTCCCAGACCCAGAATCTACTGGACCATTCCTGGTGGCCACACTCTTACTAGGCCTCAAGTCCTTGGGCGTTACCAGTTACTAGAGAACGGTACTTTGGTTATTCAGGACACCACTCTACACGACCGGGGAAACTACATCTGCAGAGCTCGTAACGATGCTGGGGAGGCTGTGCTCACTGTTCCTGTTGTCATCATTGCCTACCCTCCACGCATCACAGCAGGTCCACCTCCCAATGTGAAGGCAGTGACCGGGACACCTATCCACCTCAACTGTGCTGCCATTGGGATCCCCAAGCCAGACATCACCTGGGAGCTGCCTGATCACTCAATTCTGTCAGCAGCAGAACAGGGCCGGCCTATGGGTAGTGAACTGCTCCACCCTCAGGGCACACTTATCATACAGAGGCCCACAGCCGCAGACTCTGGCACATACAAGTGCCTGGCCAAGAACCACCTGGGTACAGACTCAAAGATCACATATGTACATGTGCTGTGAGAAAAAGACGAGACTGAGTGAGGAGAGTGGCATATCCAAATGTAAACATTATCAGACACACAGTCACTTATGTCTGTGAGGTACAGTACATGTTTTCTCATGTGGACTTGTGAGGATCACAGCTTGTGGAATATTATTAAAAATGTGACAAATGTGGATTAAAAAAAATAAACAGAGCACAAGAAGAGAAAGGAAACAGACTTTTTAAACTGGAAAATTGTGTTTTTTTAAAAAGGAAAACCCAGCCTGGAGCTAGAAAGTTGTTATTGTAACTTTGAAACTGGGGGTCTGGAAAATCATAGGTGGTTCTCATTTGGGGTGGTTCTCATGGGAGCAAAAGGGCCAGCGCCTAGAGTCAAACTAAGAGTGATATCTCCGACCAGGCACTGCTGGCCGCACATAGGGATACTATTACAGCACATACAGGCATACTATACAGAGAGGAGGAAAAATTGGTGTAAAACATTGAAAGAAAAAAAGGCTCCCAGGAGGGTTTTAATTCTCTTTAGACATTGGCCAGAAGTTATTGCTGTCATGACATGTTGCTTTGTCCTTTAACAGCAAATGAAAAAGACAGCAGGCACAGTATGTAGTAGAATAAAATTTCACAGTAAAAGAAAATAGGTTTATTCAAATATCAATATATGAAGCTTGTTTTACACTGGATACATATCTGCATGGACAGCACAGTGCTCTCATACCAGAATTACATCAGATTTCTTTATTATACTTTTTATATTTTGATATAGACATTTGACAGTTTAAAGCAGATTCTTTTATGTCTATTTCGCAGTGCAGTTCATTGGTCAAAAAATACAAAAAAACAGATCAGTCTATTGTGTTATACACAAGAATTTACAGTAATGTTATACATTATGCTAATCTGTAATAATGCAGTATATGTATATCTATTTGTAGTATCTACTTTATCAAAGTATGGAAGAACAAATGAAATAAGAAGGTTCATGTCTTTTTAATGTTTTTATTTTACTTTTTGATACACAAAAATATTTTAAATGAGACGTGTTATATATATGAAATACAGTATATCACTGTTACTGGTACACAGAATTGGCTGTTAGTACTAGACAGCTATTATAATGCTGTTGCAATTAAGGTCATTAGGATTATCCAGTTGTACCACACCCTATAGGAGGAGGTTAGGGCTGTGGCTGCAGTAGAAATCTTCCAGACACACACAGTTTTAACTTTCCAGCTGTGAAAATAGTTCTTCACCCAGCTCGTCAATGAGCAAGACCCACAGGGGAGCCTTTGATTTTTGTTTGTGATTGTGTGCTGATTTTACTGCCCTCCTGCAGATTAAACTGAAAGGTAATGGAGGATGTTGAGAAAATGGGAAGAAAGTCATATGTTTTTAAAATCTGAGTCTGTATGTAATTGATCTGATGTAATATTCCTGTTATAAATATATTACATGCAACACAGAAACTCAAATGAATAATGGTGACGTTTGCTTTGTACTTCTTTGGCTACTGTCTGCAGTTTTACTTTTAGTTTTTTGTTTCTAAAGAAACAGTTACAAGTCATATTTGAATGTATTCATTAAGACAAATACCCCATGCCTTAGGGGCAACAACTGGAAACAATTTCTCAGCAAATTGCACCAAAAGTAAATTACCTCTAATGATGCACATTTAAAATAGGCCAAAACTTTATTTTTTTGCAAGGCCTCACAATGCTCTGGCTTGTATGTGTTTTTACACTCATCAAGAAAGTTTAGAGAAAACAAAAACATATTAAAATTAAGGAATTATTTCTGTGTCCCATAATAGGAATTTATAAGTAAATGTTAAAGTTACATGTTTAAATTCATTACAGTACATGTGACAGTGGGAGGGACTTTTTTTTCTAAATTCTCAGTATTCTGTTCTTTGTACGTAGCTATTGGCCATATCATAAAACATTTTTGATAAAGACATACCAGACTCTTTTTTTTTTGGTGCTGGAGCATTAGGACAGCTTTAAACACACCAGTTAAACAGGAGTTAAACAGGACATAATTAATTTACAGTGGCTTCCAATTCCTAACAGCTGCATTTTAATGGACCCTCAAAAGAGGTCAGTGGTTTGTCCTTAAGTGTGTGCATGTTCCAATAAATCAACTTTTGAGATCTCAGAAAAAAACAAATTCTTTTTCCAAGTTTTCCAAAGTTTAGAGCCAGTCTTAGAGCAGTGTGACCCAGGCAGATATGAGGAAAGAGGGAATTGTCTTCCATAAACTTTGGAATGCATACTTGCACCATGATTTGAGAGAAAACTGCTTGCACATGTGAACTAGGCGACAATCAAACACAAATTAAACTGGTTAAGTGATGTCTTTAAAAACCAGCGCATATTTTTTATGTGTGGCTCTTAAATGTGAAAGACACTTGATCATTCACACCATGTGCCCTCCGTGGAGGGTGAAGAGTTTATTTGTTCAGTTCTGGTTGTGTGGTTAATGTTTGGAGAATGGTGGCGTTTACCTTCCACTGACTTGGATATTTATGAGGATTTTAAACATGTGATTTTCCCATTTGCTCCTTTCCTCTTGGGTGTTTAAAGGAAAAGGGCTGAAGTCTAACACGTACCATTTGAAATATGGTTTTATAAGAAGCTACTGAAAGGGGGCAGTGTGTGTTTTTTTGTGCCTGTGTGAATTTCACCTTTACAAGGTCAAGTATTCTGTACTTCTGAACCCAGTTTCTGGTGACAGCTGGTGAAGGGAGACATATTAACATGAAGAGTTGCAATACCACCATTATTTCACGAGATGAATAAACAAAACCTGTTTTTACATTAGATGAGGAAAGGTAAAAGTATGGCCACTTCTTGGCCACCTCGAAGATTGTGGTAAAACAGAACAAATCTGCACTGAGTCAAATGACTTCATTACCCTGCAGTACACCTTCTCCGAGGGACTCACAATACACACAAGTTAAATTATATTTCCTGGAAGCAGGTCATTGATCTTTTTTATTCGGATTGCACCTCCAACTTGCTACCACCTTACTGCTTAGACCACCAAGACAGTCTTTACCTCAACACTGTTCGCAGACTGCAAGGAAACATTTAACAGCAGATGTTTTGTTCAAGCAGTGATTCCTACTTTAGTATTCTCGGTTTTTCTATCATCTGTCCATCTCCGCTCCAGGAACCAGTGGGAGGCCAGATCTAGCGCTCCAGGGTTTTTATCTTACACACCTTATACACACTATTATAGACTCTATACAAATACTGATATTGACAGGAGTCAGAAAAATCTGATAACCATACATCGGCAGAAAATAATTTTGTTTAATAAACACACAGTTTTGCAAACAATCCTTATACTTATCACTGAGATTGTTTAATTAAAGAATTTAAAAAATTTAATTTTTTTTGCTCTCTGATGGACACAGTTGACACCTAGTTTCGCATTTCATAACTGAAAGTTCTTGTTAATAACCGGCTGACATACACCAATACTGATCTATCTGCAATAAGCTATAATATACCGGCCTGGCAAAAAACAACTAGACGGGTAAATCGACAACTGTTTGCTAACACGTTTGTAATATCAATCATATAAGGTGATAGTATGTCAGTGTTGGCTCCAAGTCACAAACAAATAATTTTTTGCAGTTTTAAGGAAGAAATTGCTGTTCACATAATCATGCCCACTTCCTTTGTTGTAAACAATCTAAACATTTCATTTTGCAAACAGACTAACGTTTCAACACAACGGTGTCTTCATCAACAAAGACATGAGGCAATACAGCCTCATATAACCATTTTGACTCTGAAGACTAGTGTCTAAATGTTAGTATGTTTGTAAATTGAAGGCTGTGCAGTGTGCATTAATCTGTGTGCTTAAGTCCTCATTTGTTCTCTGCAAGTTTGCTGTTCTCAATCTGAGAAGCACCTGATTCAACTTGCTGGAAGATGCACGAGAACCCTGAGGAGGAGAACCCAGTTTTCTACTTCACTTACTGTGTTTCTAATGAAACTGAATGTACAATATACATTATCATATACTGTATCTGTGTCAGGTAAACCTGAAATGAGTAATAACAAAGAGTAAAAAAAACTGAAACATAGAGCTGAGTGAGAACTAGAGGAAAGGAAGGATGAAGTCTACAGATGGTAGATGAGGGAGACCAGGCAAGGGTGAGAAACATTGTTGGTGTGTGGTATGAATTCCATACCTAAACTTGAATGCTAGCAGCATGAACATGGAAACTGAGGATCTCAGGAGAGGACTGCTGGGAGCTGACCAACAGCAGTCTGAGACAGAACTTCTCTGTTAGCTCAGAAAGTCTTTTATTTCTTTGATGCTGCAAACTTGGCAACGAGTAAAGTGGATTGCTTGCTTCTTTTTTCTGCTGCAATCCAAGCTTATAGGTGGGGGAAAATCTTTTCAAAATACTAAAGGGGGTCTTTCCATTACACACAGCCCTGCAGATGCACACACAAACGCTTGCTCATACAGTAGATCAGCGTCTCTTTCTATACCTGTGGTGATGCTGGAATTTCACACCAGCATTGTAGAATCCACACATCCACCTTTCAGCCACAAGTAAGACAGATTCATCTTTGCACTTCTCTGCCAGGTGGGATCTGTCATGCTGTGATGGTGGTTCCAGGTTTCTCGGACCATTGCTTCTCAGGAAAGGACTCAGGACTATTTTTGATAAATTCCCAGTTTTACCGCAAGCTTATATGTTGGCTATTAGTAGGGGAAAGGAAAGTATGCAGGTATCAGTTGTCATCTTGCTCCCATGGTTGCATTTCAAACACAGATGATTTGCAGGTGGACTTTATGTATTGTCTGTAAGTGTTCAGAGTGAGCCTTTAAGCAGTATAAGCCAGGTATAAGGTACAAGGGCAATGGTGCAACCATAAATCAACTGACTTTAGCAACAAACTGTACAAAGCTTTCAGTAACTATACTGCACCCATTAAGTGCAAGAGAGGCCTAATCAATACAATTAAAAAGAGAGATTTTATGTATATTATGAGGTATGGGCTAAACTTTTTAATGGGACCATATCCTTCAGTCGCTGTCCTAAGGGCAGAGGAAGAACGTCAGTAGGGGGTTCTCCAATCTGATTGGGTGCAGATGTGGTCCTTTGGGTCCCCGGAGAGTAACCAGGTGGACTGCTGTATACCTAACCTTCCTCACTCCAGCCACACAAACACCAAACTAAAAACATCAAAGCCCTTCTAAATTATTGAGTCCCAAAAGGGGGAAAGCTTTTAAACAAGCCAGCTCACCCAATTAGGCTGCATCAACAATGTGGCACTGCTACTTTACAGCGGAGGTTGATGTTTTCTGTCTGACAGCTTTAGCTTTTCCAGGAACCATTTCAAGTTCAGTGATGAATTAATAAAGGTAAGTGTGGTGGGGTGTCAGTTTGAAGTAAAGGGTAAAAAGAACTTCTAAGGGCCAGAACTTCACCAGGGTATTTGGCATTACTGACATTGGTATACTTGGAATAGTGCATATTCTCCTTTTTCTAACCTTGTAATCATTGTGATGCAAATTTGTGGCTGTGTAGTTGTAACATCCCCAACATTAGCTTTGGCCAGTTTAATTTCATTGCGCGACGGAACAATTTTATTCTCCATTCTGAGACTCTGTTTCTGTATTTCTCCTGTTGGACTTGTTTCCCATATTCTTTTGAAACCTCATTGTTTCCAGCATAAGAAAGACAAAGCCAAAGTTGGAGGGCTGTTGTGAAAGAGAGTCATGTGTTCACAAATTACATTCCTTCACTCAGACACATCCACGGTCAGCATTTCCTCTGTGCTTCTGGAAAGAAAGTCTAATTTACCACCCTGTAGTAAAGCCAATGTGTAATTTAGATGCAATCTGGAGGAGCTGTAACACAGCTGAGGAAACACTAAACACCTATAAATAAAAAACGAGACAGGAGCATAAGTCTTAGCTTTGGACAGCTCTATAAAAGCCTTTTCCGTAAGACATACATGCATGCTCTCCAGACAGAAATTCTTGTAAAAAAAGGTATTTTCCTTAACTGATATACATATGCAAGCTCTGATTGTCAATCTCATTATCTGTCATGCTGAAAATGAAAATATATTAACTGTATATTCACAGATAAACTTAAATCACAGGTTACTCAATAAGAAAACGTCAAGACAAAGCTTTTATTTTGTAGAACACTAAGAAAAATCTAATGAGATAATACTATTAAGATTATAGACACTGCCAAATCATGCAACTATGTACCCTGTATGTGTTATTCTCACAGGCAACCATTAGATGGCATCAACAGCTCTAATCATCGTACTCTATCTGTTCTGTAATTCTAAATAACTTAGATAATTAAAAAATGTTAAATGTTTAAATGTGAAAATCTTGAAGATCCTCCATAACAGCCAGGCATAAACCGTGTCTCTGTTAGACTTTTAAACAGACTCACAGGTTTAGTTTTTACACCAAGCGCTGCAGTGAAATCATTTTGGATTACATCATTTAGACCGCCTGCCGCAGCTTGTCTGCTCTACACAAACGTCTTTACAGCACCTAGCAACCTCAGATACCACAATGACATCGCAGGAAAACAGAGCCTCATTATAGCTCTGAGTTCACTAGTTGCTACTGAAGTCATGT